GTCATGGGTCGGCTTCCCGACGGTCTAGAGGCGCGCACACGTCGTCCATGGGAAGCTGTGGTTCCGGGCAAGTGCCCGCGTCGGTTTCGACGCGGCACAGCAGCATCAAGGGGCTCCGGGAAGGTCCCCGGCTTGCGGCGGCAATCCAGGCCCCGCAGTCTAGAAGCCAGGGAGTCGTCTTCCACGGGGGGGCCGCAGCTCCGGGCAGGTCGCCGGCTAGCGGCGGCAATCAAAGCCCCGCGCTCAAGAAGCCAGGCAGCCTTCCTCGTTCGTCCCGCACATCCCCGAGCCGTAACAGTCGTCTCTTCGTCCCTTTTCTAGCCTCGTCATCCTCAGGCAGCGCCGCTGTGGGCACGAGATTGTCCACCTCGGCGACGCCCCTTCGATGCTATCTCCACATGGCGTCAGCAGCGCACGATGTGGTGGGAAGGAACACGATGGGTTCCCACAAACAGCGTGAAGATATGTTTCATGGACAGGGAGAAAAAAGCTCGAGGTACACCTAAGCACTTCTTATGAGTTGTGAATGCGAAATCATGCGTGCCGTTCTTCTGTTCCCGTGTTTCATTTGCGGCATATTTGCGTCGGCCCTGCGCGTGCTCTTCCAGCTCTCCTCGCCCTCGTGTTACAGGCACGCTCGCGGCGCAGACACGCAGCGCCATGGGGCGGCGATCGTGGAAACTGACGTATGCAGCGGCCAATAGAAGCGTCGTCGACGCGTGCCAGCGAATGGGATCGAAGGCGAGGCGACATCCATCAGCTTTACTTCATTCGTTTGTGATCGGTGAAACTAGGTGCCGTTGTCTAGGTGTTTCGCGTGGTTTCATAGCTGTGTGATGGCTTCACTTGAAGAAAGGATTTAAGGTGCCGTTTTCGCGCTTCAAACTGATGACGTCAGCTGGCTCCACGGGACAGTTAATGTTTTTGCATTAATAAAAGCCGTCAAATACTACATGCAACTCAACCAGATGCACAAGGCGTGATCCAGCAACCACGTGTAGTCCCGGTCGCCGTCAGGAACAAGCTCAAGAGACACTTGGAAGATCTTGCGCAACAAAAAGTGGTTGAGCCAGTAACGAACCAACGGTGTGGGTTCACCCTGTTTTGGTTCTGCAAAAGAAAGACAAACTCCGACTCTGCCTTGATTCTCAAGAGCGCAACAAGGTGCTCATTCGGGAGACCTACTGTATGCCTGGTTTAGAGGACATTGCCACATGATTGGAAGAAGCCGAGTACTTCTCGACGCTAGACGCAGCTACAGGGTGTTGGCAACTCACGTTCCAGACTCCCAGCTCGCACTTGTGTACGTTTGCGACACCATTAGGGAGGTACAGATCCCTGCGAACGCCTTTTGGCATATCGTCTGCTCTCGAGGTGTTCCAGAAGACAATGCATTTGGTATTTGAAGGCTTAGACGGAGTGGATATCATGATAAACAACATTCTAATCTGGGAAAAGACAACTGAGAAATATGACCGTAGGCTTCAGGCGGTACTAGAAAGGTGACGAGAGATCATCCTACGACTGAATAAGAAGTGCAAGTTTAGCATGATACAAATCAGGTACCTGGGTCACAAGTTCTCAGCATAGGGACTCTTGATTGATCCGAATAAAGTGAAAGGCATCCCTGCTCTACTAAGACCGAACAATGTGGGCGAACTGAAGAGCTCCCTAGGAGTGGTAAACAACTTGGGAAGGTTCATCCCTATCATGTCGGACGTGAGTGTGTCGCTGTGGCAACTCCTAGAGAAGGAGACAGCCTGATCATGGACAAAAGAACAAAAGAAAGGTTTCACAGCCCTTCGGGCGGCTTTGACGGTTGCACCCACGCTACGGTTCTACGACAAAAAAAGGCAAGTAACGCTGTCAGTGGAAACAAGCTCCAGAAGAACAGGCGCAGTATTGCTCAAGGAGGGACAACCAGTGACCCATTCTTCAAGGTGCTTGAATGAAGCTCAGAAGAACTATGCACAAATCGAGAAGGAACTGTAATCGATCGTACACGGATGCAGTTGACTCCACCAATACATCTTCGGACATAGGGTTGTCATAGAGCCAGGTCTCAATCCGTTGGAGGCTATCTTCCGAAAGCCTCTCAACCAATGCCCTCAGGCTAAAAAGGACGAGATTGACCATTCAAAAATATGAACTTCAAGTAAAGTGCACTTCAGGAGGATAGTTATACATTGCCGACAGTCTTTGTAGAAATTCATCGATGAAAGAAGTGTCAGAAGCTTTCGAGATGAACATCTTGGAGTGTCTCTCAAGCAAAGACGAAACCCTTCAAGAATGTCGGAAAGCGACAAAAAAGACAAATATATGACCACCATGCAACAGTGTGCAACAGGTGAGTGGACAGTCAACAAAAGACGTAGCAAATACTCTTAAGCAGTATTTGTCATACAGAGATGAGATACATGAAGAGAATGACTTGCTGTCCAGGTCAAATAGACTCATCATTCCGGAACAACTTAACAGTAAAATACTAGCAGAGTTGCACAGTGCACACAGCAGTGTAGAGAAGACACTGCATTGTGTCAATAAAATTCTCTACTGGTTTATTATGGAGAAGGACATCGAGTATAAAGTAGACAGTTCCATAGTGTGCAAAGACAAGCCATGACAACAGAAAGAGCCTCTCATTAACCTCCCTGTGCCAACCGCACTATGGCAAGTTGTTGGAATAGACCTCTTCCAATACAACGGTCACTACTACATTGTGATAGTGGACTACTACTCGTTCTACTATGAAACTCGTCAGCTTGAGAGGACACTTGTCAATCACGTGACAAGTGCTGCCTAACAACGTTTGCTGTGCATGGGCTGCCAGTCAAAATCGTTTCAGACAAAGGCCCACCCTTCGACAGCGCAGACTTTAAGGACTTTCTGCAGCGCCGAAGAATCTCCCACGTGACATCCAGCCCCTACTGCCCCAAATCCAATGAAATGGCTGAGACAGCGGTACAAGAAACCAAAAAGCTAGCTCATGAACAAATTGAGCTATATAACTACAGACTATTACGACGCTCTACTGGAGTGGCGCAACACACCCCGAGATGGATTCCTGGGATTTCCAGTCAAATGCTTATGAATAGGCACACAAGGACATAATTTCCTCCGCATACTTCGCTGCTTCAAAGCACGGAAACAAATCACACAGAGATCCAACAGTGGTTGAGAGACAAACAAATGAAACAACGACAACAATACGACAAAAATGTCAAACCACTGCCTGAACTTCACACTGGAGAAGATATATTCTTCAGGTATCAACACAGCGGAAAGTGTAGTCCTGTTATCGTTGTAGCAAGAGCACCACAGCAGACATCATATATCGTCCATGACGACGACGGTGGCCAGTGCAGGGGAAACAGCATAGCGCTCCGCAGAAGCTAAAGAACGAAAAGAAAACCGGCTCGCTTCAGGGACACAAACTTCGTCGACAAGTAGGCGAAGGAAGAGAGATGTCGACTGGTACCAACTCCATTACGAGACAGAGATCCAGTAATCTGCGAGAAAGACGACAAAGGGATATGGGGGGGTGGGGGGGGGGGGGGTGGAGCTAGAACACTCGAGACGGGCCTTAGACAGCATGGCGGAGGGACCTATGCCGCCTCACCCTTATTTTATACAACGCGTTGTTAATAAACACTTCATTTCTGTAAGCTACAAGAGTCATATAATCTGTAAGAATGAACAATGGTATTAATCTTTTGCATGAAAAAAAACAAAAAAAAACAAAACAAGCCCAGTTTTTGCAGGATTAAAAGGTCGCCAGTTTATGCGACACTGAAGAGGAATTATATTAACGCCTTTTTGCAATATTTCAGTAAACAGACGTGCGGATAGTACGATAAACGTTTACGTCATCAGGCAACTGAAGCATCTTAGTAGAGACAAAGTCGTCTACAAACATATCGGAAAGCAAAGGCACGAATACGACCCTTGTGAAACGCCGGCATTTAACACATAGTGATATGACCTGCATCATTACCAGGGAACACTATTCGAGCGATCAATCAGGTAGCTAGAAAAATAATCACAAATGCAATCAAGATAAACGACACCAAGGTGCCCACGTTAAACAATTTTAAGCAATGCGAACTTAAAAAAAAAGAAGAAAGTTACAAGATTAGTTTGAGCGGATCGTCCGCGAAAAATCTGTGATGATTTAAATTTATTGTAGGCTTAACACGGAAACTGAGGTTAACAAAAACACCTTTAAAAAAAAAGAACCTTTTTATAAAGAACAGAGAGAAACGCAATTGGTTCGTAATTGTTGACGGACATAGTGCTCCCAGATTTGTGAACTGGTACAACCACCTTCTTCCACACCCAAAGAAATGTACTCGTTATTAAAGGGAAATAAAAATATGCTGCAACAGAGACGCCAATATATTATAGTACTTTTTAACAGTACATTATCATATGTCATTTTAAGAACCGACATAACACTGAAGTATCAAAGCGTGGGGCTGTAATAGTTGACAAATGTACTCGGAGATTTACTATAGAAAAGTATTTAGCAAACATAATGCACATACCCAGACTGTGAGAGACTTAACATATCCGGCCTACAGAATGGCCTAATATATCTAATATGGGTCATGGCATAGTTCAGAAGGCAAATTAACGGACGACAAGGTTGATTATATTGAGCAAATATTAGAACAAACAGGTCATTCCCTGTAACTGCAGGAATCCTCTAAAGCGAGGTTGCTTTCGTAATCACCATCGTGGGTGCGGGTTCCGAAGTACTCAAAATGTTTAGTTTGCGACTGCACGGTAGAAGTGGTGTACTATTCTAGATTGAGATAGGAGGCTTTGACTTACTTTCTTTTACTAAGATAACTGAAATAAACCTAGTGCGCTACAGCTTCTTGTGATGTCGAAATTTTTGTACCGGCCCATTAATAACCTTTTTTTCTCAAAAGAAAGAACACAATAGCACTTCGTCTTCGCTGTGAATCGGGATACCTTAAATAAGTGGTGAAACTTACTGTCCATCCGCCACCATTGGTGTCCATGTCACACCTCACAGAGAAATTTGTGTAAGGAGTTATAAAATAATCACCGGTCTCGTTATTTCCTTCCATTTTTAACTGGGCACAGCTCACTGTGCGGTTGCCAGCTGCAAAAAGAGAAGCGTGAAGCAAACGTCGCTTATCAATATTGCAAAAAAAAAATCGACTGTGCCAGAACCGGCAGGTGGAGCAGCCAGCGATGCGCCACAGTGATCGCTTACGCCACAAATGGTAAGAGGTGCCAGTGGAATACTCGCCGGTAAGAGGCGAGTATTCGAAAGGTCTATAGACCTTTCCAGCGCTTATCATCCGGGCCTTAAATGCGGAGTCACGTGGCTGATAAAGCATGCGCAGCGTCTGATGTACCGCACAAAAGAGCTACAACGCGTGCTCGAAAGGGTTTCAACAGCCCAGCAGACAAAAATGTCAGCGCCCAGGCAGCGAGTATTGGAAAGGTCTATAGACCTTTCCAGCGCTTATCATCTGGGCCTTAAATGCGGAGTCACGGGGCTGTGGACGCATGCACAGCGTCTGATGTACCACACAAGAGAGCTACAGTTCGTGCTCGGAAGGGGTTCCACTGCCCAGCAGACAAAAATGTCAGCGCCCAGACGGCGAGTGTTGGAAAGGTCTATAGACCTTTCCAGCGCTTATCATCCGGGACTTAATTGCGGAGTCACGGGGCTGTGGACTTATGGGCAGCGTCTGATGTACCGCACAAGAGAGCTACCGCGCGTACTCGGAAAGGGTTAAACAGCCCAGCAGACAAAAATGTCAGCGCCCAGACGGCGAGCATTGGAAAGGTCTATAGACCTTTCCAGCGGTTATCATCCGGGCCTTACATGCGGAGTCACGGGGCTGTGGACGCATGCGCAGCGTCTGATGTACTGCACAGGAGAGCTACAGTTCGTGCTCGTCAGGGGTTCCACAGCCCAGCAGACAAAAATGTCAGCGCCCAGACGCCGAGTATTGGAAAGCTCTATAGACCTTTCCAGCGGTTATTATCCGGGCCTTACATGCGGAGTCACGAGGCTGTGGACGTATGTGCACCGTCTGATGTACCGCACATGAGAGCTACAGCGCGTACTTGGAAGGGGTTCCACAGCCCAGCAGACAAAAATGTCAGCGCCCAGACGGCGAGTATTGGAATGGTCTATAGACCTTTCTAGCGGTTATCATCCGGGCCTGACATACGGAATCACGGGGCTGTGGACGTATGTGCAGCGTCTGATGTACCGCACAAGAGAGCTGCAGTTCGTGCTCGGAACGGGTTCCACAGCCCAGCAGACAAAAATGTCAGCGCCCAGACGGCGAGCATTGGAAAGGTCTATGGACCTTTCTAGCGGTTATCATCCGGGCCTTACATGCGGAGTCACGGGGCTGTGGACGGATGTGCAGCGTCTCATGTACCGCACAGGAGAGCTACAGGTCGTCCTCGGAAGGGGTTCCACATCCCAGCAGACAAAAATGTCAGCGCCCAAACTGCAAGTATTGGAAAGGACTATAGACCTTTCCAGCGCTTATCATCCGGTCCTTACATGCGGAGTCACAGGGCTGTGGACGTATGTGCAGCGTCTGCTGTACCACACAAGAGAGCTACAACGCGTGCTCGGAAGGGGTTCCACAGCCCAGCAGACAAAAATGTCAGCGCCCAGGCAGCGAGTATTGAAAAGGTCTATTGACCTTTCCAGCGCTTATCATCTGGGCCTTAAATGCGGGCTCACGGGGCTGTGGACGCATTCACAGCGTCTGATTTACCACACGAGAGAGCTACAGCGCGTGCTCGGAAGGGGTTCCACAGCCGAGGACACAAAAATGTCAGCGCCCAGATGGCGAGTATTGGAAAGGTCTATAGACCTTTCCAGCGCTTATCATCCGGGCCTTAAATGCGTAGTCAAGGGGCTGTGGACGCATGCGCAGCGTCTGATGTACCACACAGGAGAGCTACAGTGCGTGCTCGGAAAGGGTTCCACAGCCCAGCAGACAAAAATGTCCGCACCCAGAAGGCGAGTATCTGAAAGGTCTATAGACCTTTCCAGCGCTTATCATCCCGGCCTTAAATGCGCAGTCTCAGGGCTGTGGACGCATGCGCAGCGTCTGATGTACCGCACAAGAGAGCTACAGCGTGTGCTCGGAAGACGTTCCACAGCCCAGGAGACAAAAATCTTAGCGCCCAGACGGCGAGTATTGGAAAGGTCTATAGACCTTTCCAGCGCTTATCATCCGGGCCTAAATGCGGAGTCACGGGGCTGTGGACGCATGCGCAGCGTCTGATGTACCGCACAAGAGAGCTACAGCGCGTACTCGGAAGGGGTTCCACTGCCCTGCAGACAAAAATGTCAACGCCCAGACGGCGAGTATTGGAAAGGTTTATAATGCGGAGTCACGGGGCTGTGGACGCATGCGGAGCGTCTGATGTACCGCACAAGAGAGCTACAGCGCGTACTTGGAAGATGTTCAGCAGCCCAGCAGACAAAAACGTCAGCTCCCAGACGGTGAATATTGGAGAGGTCTATAGACCTTTCCAGCGCTTATCATCCGGACCTTAAATGCGGAGTCACGGGGCTGTGGACGCATGCGCAGCGTCTGATGTACCGCACAAGAGAGCTACAGCGCGTACTTGGAAGATGTTCCGCTGCCCAGCAGACAAAATCGTCAGCTCCCAGACGGTGAATATTGGAGAGGTTTATAGACCTTTCCAGCGCTTATCATCCGGGCCTTAAATGGGGAGTCACATGGCTGTGGACGCATGCGCAGCGTCTGATGTACCGCACAAGAGAGCTGCAGTTCGTGCTCGGAAGGGGTTCCACTGCCCAGCAGACAAAAATGTCAGCGCCCAGACGGTGAGTATCGGAAAGGTCCATAGACCTTTCCAGCTCTTATCATCCGGGCCTTACATACGTAATCACGGGGCTGTGGACGTATGTGCAGCGTCTGATGTACCGCACAAGAGAGCTACAGCTCGTGCTCGGAAGGGGTTCCACAGCCCAGTAGACAAAAATATCAGCGCCCAGTCGGCGAGTGTTGGAAAGGTCTATAGACCTTTCCAGCGCTTATCATCCGGGCCTTAATTGCGGAGTCACGGGGCTGTGGACGTATGTGCAGCGTCTGATGTAGCGCACAAGAGAGCTACAGCGCGTACTCGGAAAGGGTTCCACAGCCCAGCAGACAAAAATGTCAGTGCCCAGACGGCGAGCATTGGAAAGGTCTATAGGCCTTTCCAGCGGTTATCATCCGGGCCTTACATGCGGAGTCACGGGGCTGTGGACGCATGCGCAGCGTTTGATGTACCGCACAGGAGAGCTACAGTTTGTGCTCGTTAGGGGTTCCACAGCCCAGCAGACAAAAATGTCAGCGCCCAGACGCCGAGTATTGGAAAGGTCTATAGACCTTTCCAGCGGTTATCATCCGGGCCTTACATGCGGAGTCACGGGGCTGTGGACGAATGGGTAGCGTCTCATGTACCGCACAGGAGAGCTACAGGTCGTGCTCGGAAGAGGTTCCACATCCCTGCAGACAAAAATGTCAGCGCCCAGACGGCGAGTATTGGAAAGGTCTATAGACCTTTCCAGCGCTTATCATCCGGGCCTTACATGCGGAGTCACGGGGCTGTGGACGTATGTGCAGCGTCTGCTGTACCGCACAAGAGAGCTACAGCGCGTACTCGGAAGGGGTTCCACAGCCCAGCAGACAAAAATGTCAGCGCCGAGACGGCGAGTATTGGAATGGTCTATAGACCTTTCTAGCGGTTATCATCCGGGTCTTACATGCGGAGTCACGGGGCTGTGGACGCATGGGTAGCGTCTCATGTACCGCACAGGAGAGCTACAGGTCGTGCTCGGAAGGGGTTCCACATCCCTGCAGACAAAAATGTCAGCGCCCAGACGGCGAGTGTTGGAAAGGTCTGTAGACCTTTCCAGCGCTTATCATCCGGGCCTTACATGCGGAGTCACGGGGCTGTGGATGTATGTGCAGCGTCTGCTGTACCGCACCAGAGAGCTACAGCGCGTACTCGGGAGGGGTTCCCCAGCCCAGTAGACAAAATTGTCAGCCCCCAGACGGCGAGTATTGGAAAGGTTTATAGACCTTTCCAGCGGTTATCATCCGGGGCTTACACGCGGAGTCACGGGGCTGTGGACGTATGTGCAGCGTGTGATGTACCGCACAAGAGAGCTACAGTACATGCTCAGAAGGCGTTCCACAGCGCAATAAATAAAGATGGCAGCACACAGAAGGCGAGTATTGGACCGGTCTGTACGAGTTCACCCTGAAATAGGCTTTCCAACGACTTTTTACTGGTTTTTAATTTGCATAAAGTTTAGCCCATGGAACGTAGTAACTCAGTAAACCTTTTATTTTCTAGAAATTCGCTGTTTTTGAAAAGTTATACGCACCTCAAAATGACAGAAACAAGCAAAAAGATAACCTCCTTAAGACGTCCTTGGTCCTCTGTCTCCCCTTTTTCCGCGCGGGACGATTTTCCTTGCCCGCGGTAAAGTGTTTACCGGCGGACCACGGTGACTGAGGAATGTAGGAATGGGGTGGAAGACAGAGGAAGGATGTGAGGCCGAGGATAGAAAGGTGCCCCGGAACGGGGCAGAACTAGGAAATAAAAACGAGTTGAGTTTGAGACTCTCATGTGACTTCTTCCCATACGCTGCGTCCCAACAGACACTCATCGTGCTTTTGCGAGGAGACAAATTCGTAGTTTCGGTTTTTACAAAATGTGCCGCCGGCGTTCTGCGTCGTCTGCTAGGATCCGCCAAGCATGTCCTCCGATATCCCGAAGCGAGCGTGCTTCGGAATCATACGACGGGCGCTTGCGCCGCCTCTTTCACCGCTTGGTGGCGAGTATGTCGGCATGTCATTCCTTGTTTCCGTACTTTCTAAACTACATTTGTTTCTTTTCTTATCTAAAATACTGAACAAAAACTAGTTTTATAAATACTTGAAACGGTTCCGGCCACTTACATTTTATATTTCTACTAAAAAAAAGTTTTTAGCGGTCCTGACCAGTCGTAAGGCATGAGCCCACCAATACCAACAACGTCACGATGTCGTCACATGCCGCGCGCGTTCAGTACCACGGGGTGCCCTGATATAGGGAGGGGTGGATTCAGAGGGGGGGTCCCGATGTCCTGACCCCCCTCTTGAATTCTGCATCTGTAAAAATTTTGGGCGTGGAAACTGGAAAGGGGTTGGCAGGTCCTAAACATATGATACGTTGACCAGCACCTCACCCTCCCCCCCCCCCCCCTCAAGACATACCTGCGTCCGTCACTGCATATAGGTGGAGGAGGCTTTCACGTCGTCCGGTTAAAATATGACGCACTGATATTTAGTTTATCTCTCCGTGCCCGCTAGGTTGCACGAACCAGAAGAGACGTGGAAACCGCAAAAAATGTAGACGCTCGAATAGGATTGCAGGGCCCCTCAAGCGTGGGCTAGAAGCTCGGTATTCAGTGCGAGCTTTCTCCCCTTACTAACACAAATGTGAACAGGCAGACTTGCGCAACCAAAGCACTGTGGAAGCCAGCGAGATAGCGCTGAAGGCAAAGCTTCTAGTCTCAGCTTAAGGGTGAATGGTGTATATATTCTGTTCACACTTTAGTGGAGACTGCAGCCAGTGCCGGAAGTATGAGAGCAGGAGACCATAGATTTGAAAGGCTCTGCCCGAGTTCTCGCGCTAGAAACCTATGTATCAAAGCCAGGAGCGCGTTCTTGCTTGCGATTGTAACTCTGGTTGTAGTCTCAGCTTGAAGGTGAACGGAGTATGATCACAGCGCAATCCTCGACTGCAAAAACGAAAGTCATCATAAAAGAAAAACGTTCAGTCCGCTAGATACTGGCCCAATCTTTCAAATCCGACGCCGATATCGGCGCTATAATGTGTGCTACCGGAGACATAATGCCCGACGTGACGCTAGAACCAACCGCAGAGCTGCCGATTAAACACTGTTCGTTCTACGTGGTTAAATTAAAAAAAAATTGTTTTACGTTTGTTCATATTGCAGGTTTTTACATATCCGCTTCTTTCAGTTATTTTCGGAAAGCTATGAAGGCTGCTTTCCATAAAGAGGTTCCCGGCTACAACCGGCAGAAAGAGTACTGCTACGAACATGTTGAGATCTTTAGTCAGTGGATCGGAGGTTCTCATAAGTCGTAACCAACGCTCTTTGGCCCGGTTTCTCGCGTCTTATATAGCTTGCGGAGTTAAATAGTAATAAATAAAATGCACACAAGTCAGATCTAAAAAAAAAATCTACTTGAAGAATACCGTTTGCTCATGTACGTATTGTTGCGACACAATGGAAAGTTTCAGCGGATTACTAACGTTTTCAACTGTAGACAAGGCAGCGGCTCCGAGTGCGCACCGGCTGTGATCTTAAAACACATCGTGGAAGATACTGCGCACTCTCAGAAGGCGTTCCACAGGCCAGTACACAAAGATGTCAGCGCCCAGAGCGCGAGTGTTGGAAAGGTCTATACACCTGTCAAGGGCTTATCACCCGGATGATAAGTGCGGACTCACGGAACTGTGGACGCATGCGCTGCGTCTCATGTACCGCACAAGAGAGCTACAGCGCATGCTCAGAAGGCCTACCACAGCCCAGCTGACTCAGATGGAAGCGCGCAGAAGGTGATTTTTGCAAAAATATAGACCACTTTTTTTTTCGTGACGTAAGCCATGTTGACTTCGAAGCAGCTGATTTTGAGCAAAATAGCAGATCACTTTATTTGCCTATTGGAAGTCGCTAGAATGCAAGGTGTCCGTGCCGATAGTTGTTTTTTTTTTTTTTTTATGGCTTTACTTGTTAATTATATTTCTGCTGAAAAAAAGAAATTGTCGCCTAACCGAAGTACGTCATATGGGAACCGTAACACAAAAAAACGGTCTATAATCCGTTTCCCTTGAAGTCCGAACGCAGCCGAAGCTAGGATCCAAAGAAACTAATCAAGCCGCGCCAAAGGACATCGTCGCGGTGATCGTTGTTTCTGTGTGTTCTTTGCCAACGCCTAGACCAGTCCCGCCCAAAAGAAAAGCGCAGGATCGAAGCGCTATTTCTGTGCGTAACAGACTTTTTCCGATATTCAGTCTAGCCATTTTGATCAATATCTTCATCTGAGGAATGGCCTTTGCGCCGTTTTAATGGTGGCCTTGTGTTTGCTGGTGTTCGAAGTTTAAGGTGCACCGAGTGGTTGAAGCGGGGCCTTAACATTCGAGACGTTACTACGATGCGACGCGGGAATCCAAAGTAAAATCCGCGTAAGCGTTTTATTTCCAACTCGGGCCCAGTCAATCGGTAAGCGGCAAATAATTGCGCCTAAAGTCCTTCGTGGTATGCAATTTTATCACAGCGTCAATGTGGTTTGGGGCTACTTTCCTCTCTTGTTACAGTTGTTACAGTCAAAACTTTTGTTACAGTCAAAACTGAGAGGTCCATCGTATGGTTCTAGCCATCCGGCTAGAACCGTACGAACCGTCCGAAAGACCGACCGTGCGCCCGCAAAATCTGAACGCCAAGAAATGCCTCGCATTTAATAATGATTGCCCAACTTGGAGGTATGCGCCAGTTTTATTAACAGTGTGCTCTCTTACCAGTTTGGTTCGATTTTGCGTTGCTCGCTTAGCTCTTCTAGTTTTCTTGGAATAAACAATAGTCGGCACGACCCCTGGTAGCAACCAAATATTCTTTGTAGGAAGACCTAGGCTCCTGAAAACAAGTGGTCGCCCTTCGTAGTCCTCATCGAGAAAATGGTCACCGTACAGGCGATCGATTTTGTACGGCGCCCCAGAAAACAACGGATGCGCAAGACGAATCCACACGCTTCGGAATTTCTTATCGTTCGGAAACCCGCGTGTCGGCGTCTCGCAGTTCAACACGCTGCTGCCGCAGCCCTCTGCCACGCAATAGCGCGGCATCCTGCACGCAAACGTGATGAATAAACCCGGAAACAACTAGGCGGTACCAAAACAATCATCGCGGGCCGCGCGAGGCAACGTGATTGCGTTGACGGCTAGGGAGTGCAGTGTCCTGCCGAGGGTGGCGCCACTGCGGGAGGAGCAACAGGTCACGATCCCCGAACAAAGCTTCGGCACCCCAATCACCAGATGCAAGGGGAAAATCATTTTATTCATTTTAGAAATGCATTTCTTGCGTTTAAAGACGAAAGACAAGGCAGCGGCGTGTCGTTTGGTGCTGATGCTACGGGGTATATTTATACCTAAGCAATAAAATGAGCATAAAATTTCGTTTCCGTACACTTTTAATACGCTAGTGCGCCGCGCTCCAGTTCGCTGGGTTGACTGATTCCGCCACAGCGAAGCGGGCGTGTAATGTTTTTTTTTTTTTTTTGCTTGTCTTTGCACATTTAAAACAACTTTTCCCCCTAATCTATCTTTCTCACTTCAAAAAAAAAAAAACAAAAAAAAAAACGGAATGACGATGGTTTACTTGCATAATAAAAATCGCACGGCTTAAGCCAATATTGCCAATCGTGAAATGGTATACCAATAACGCCATCAGCCGCGCGTTTTCCACACACTGTGGCGCCACAAGACGCTCAGCGGTTTTTTGTTACCTAATTAAAATATGACGCGCTAATAGCTTGTGGCACTTGTTTTCTGAGTAGCTCAAAGCCATTATGAGGTAATAATATAAAAAAGGCAAAAAGCCCAAATATCGCTGGAGGGTCCCTTTCATAGAGATCCAGCAAACTCCTGTACAAAACCGGTGCGATACCGGTGAGTACAAGAGACGATGTCGTCGCTAGTATTCATGCGCGCCCCTACCGTTGGCGAAACGAGCGATCAGTATTTTGTTACCTGCGTCTCTGGTAACAACAAAGCTTTGATGGGAGCACCAGAAGTCTGGGACTTTTTGAAAAGCCCCTGCTGAAAGTAAAAACGCCGACAACGTCATTATAGAGGCTGGCAACAAGCAGGACAATCGCGATAAGTAATGGTTTGAACGAAATATATGACAGATGTTCACTTGGGCGCAATCGCAAACCAGTGTGCCGACAACAAACATTCGATATAAATGCACGGCAGTCGTTCTTACTCTATCTCTAAAATTTCACCGCTACTGAGTAAAGAAAAAAGGGACATAACTTTTCGCCAAAGTGCATTCGTCTGCTCTATTTCAAGTATGTACGTTTGGAATTAACCTTTTGCAAGTCGTACCGAACTATGCTAAACAGTGGATCGTATGGCCGCGACACTAACGCAAATATTTAGTGCTTGCGTTTAGATGTGAGTTTTAGCATTTTGTATACGACCCAACGCAAGCAGTCTGCGTTATCGTTGCTAGTTCCGTACTGCGCGTGTGCGGAGCCCAGATTGCTGCCTTGGATTGCCGCAGCATTTCGATGTGCGTGCACAGAAATCAGATTCGCGCGAATGAAGCATGTGCGCTCGCCCTGCCGACAGCTGCATTATATCAGCGGCGCGACGTGTGACACTCGAGTTGGTGTATACAGTTTATTTTACGTTATCTGCGAGCGAAACCGAGGCGATACAGCTATGAGCATGTTGCCCTGGTACAACTTGGAAGCGATGTGGAAAACATGCACAAAGCTCTCCGAACTTATACGAAGCACGCGAAATGTATGTTTTTCTCATGGCAGCGTTATCTATTAGAGGACGCGGAACAGCGGCTCTTTGACGTAGCACTTCAGGATGGTTTGTTGAGTGCTACTTCAGCTACGTCACAAAGCCTTTGCTTAGCTACAACCGGGACACCGCTATCATAGTATAAACCGCAGTTCGCGTGTTTTGTAAACGTCTGGTGTGTTGTGTACACCTTTGATGCCTTAAAATGTCATGACAATCCCGAGCCTACTAGAGTCTGTAGCAGTTCGTGAATCGCATAAGAAATTCCTCTCACAAAGCCCTCTACCCTTTCTACTTTAGCAGAGGCAACGATGTAGAAAGAAAAAAAAAAACGCAAAACTTAGTGATCAGAGGGTCTCGTTATTGGGGGGATTGTACTGTTATGCTAAATCTGCAACAGTCCATACCCCAGTGTCACCTAATGATAATGTCATTGACATTTATTTGTGTTTTTTTTTTATTTTGTGGCATTTTTGAAATGTTTGTTTCCTGGTTAGCGGACCATGTCACCTGGCAAAATCTGGTGATATCTGGGGGAAAATGCCCAATGACATCAAGCAACTGAAAACATCACCGGCACAGAATTTAAACAGGCATCGCTTAATGGCGCAAGCCGCCTATCGATTGAAGTAGAACCGAAGAACCAGACATCGAAGAGGCTAGATCTGGAAATACAGTTGTCATAACATCAATCCGCCAGGGAGTATACACAATGACCCATTGTTACTTTATCCAAAATTACATGTTTCAAGGGTTTCGAGGATTTTTTTGACAACCAAATCTTTCAACAATGATATTTTGCGGAGTTTATAAAGATTTCGCAAAACCACTTTCTTTTTTTCAGACGACAGTGCAACATGCATAGTACATTATTAACTCAAAATAAGGTCGCAAACGAGCTGGTGAATATTAAGCATTACAAACACCTCGAGAGTGCTGGTAAAATAACACATAGACTAAAGGGTGTATGTGTCGCTAAATGATGAGGCATTTAAAATGTGAGACTAAAGGGTGAAACCTCTCAGTGTCCGTCGTTTTTGCCCGTTGCCCTGGGTTTTTTTTTTTTCATTAGTACGGTTATAGTATACTGGTCCGACTCATTTTAAATTGCTTGATCTCGTTGAGTACGCAGTGTAGTATGGTTTGCATAGTCCCGTCAAAATTGTTGAATTATGACATTTATTTTATTATTATTACCTATTACGCAAGTATTGGTTGGCATTCACGACGTTAAACATCTCCTTCTAATGTGGAAGCTCAGATCAGAATCAGTGCGCACCAGCAGTACGCCATATTTGCACCTGACCCCTATCCACACTTTTTTTGTGGATAGTGGTGGAATACCTGAATATTTAGCATCACACAGCCACGTCCTTCTTTGCTCTTTCAATTTATTTCTTAATCATGAGACGATATTCTCCATTAACCGTGTCTATTCAGAGCTCTACTCAGAAGTTGTAATGCTCTATCTTTAAAAAAAGAGGTGATAGCACTAAAAATTAAGAGGCAGCCATGTGAATTAAATCACTTCGCAACCTTAGCACTGTTAACAT